GAATAGCACCGTGCGTGATTCGAATGTGCGATATTTGTGCAGACAGACTGCCATTGTCTACATTACCGTTAGTAGGCGTCCTTCCTGTCTCCCCGGCGTTAACTGTGCGGCGAGCACTAAGCTGCCTGCCAAGACTGCAATGTGTTATCTTAATGAAAACAGGTAGAAGAGATGTCTTCGGTGGTGATTATGTTGTTTTGTGGCACTAAGTGCGCCGTTATTGTGGGACTGGGCCACCATTTCCCTTGTATGTTTCTAGACGATGCGGACATTTTGACAGAACTTGGGTGTCAAAGGAGGTAATCCACAACATTCAGGTCGTGCGTGACTCTCACTTTATCCCGGCTTCCATTAATCCGTGGTCTTCGATTATGAATGTTAAAATTTTTACGGTACTGCTCTAAGTCTGCCGACCCCGTGCAAAGCCATTCGAGGTCACAGGTGTGTCCATGCATCGTTTGTTTTGCAAGTCTCCTGAAAATTCATTCGATACGTCCTCGTCCGCTATCTGCACAATTGCCTCTATTGCTGCTGGACCTGCATGAGTGCCGAGCAGGTTCGTTCTTTCCAGTATTTCGGCGCCCATAGTTCTTTTTCCGCTTCGCCTTATATCGTTCGGAGGCTATTCAAGTGAAACCGTAAAGCTTCATCCTCCATTTTATGTGTAGATCCCAAACCGAAAGTGGCTGTCAACCAAAAGCCTGGTTGGATTTAGAAATCTGCCTTTTAATGTCGACCTAAATCGTGACGTCTATTAAGTTGGTACTCCATCGGTTGACGAATTTGTTATCAGTTGCGAATTATATACGCTGGTAATCTGAGCAAATGCGTTGGTTGTTAAGGCGGTCGACTTTTAACATGGCTTTCCGTAGTCCGTTTATGTTATAGAATGAAAAAAATAACCGATATAAAGGTTGGTCCTGTTTCTGATACTTTTTGTAGTTAAGGGCATCGAAGGCGAAATATGTATTTCTGCGGTGTTTCTGGAGTCCACGTTGTGTTTTTAGGTGATGTAGTCGAGCAGGGACCGATACGGTTAGCTGGCCACCTTCTAAAGTAGTGCTCACAGTTAACATGACAGTTAAAATTCGCACTGTTGACGAAAATGTTAAGCACTCCGCGAATTTAGTAACTGAAATCCATACCTTTATTCTTATTTCTTTTATAACTGAACCTTAGGAACTTCGCAGTTCCAGGCGCTCTGAGGACCATACATTTAGGGTACTTGTAGCTGTTTTCTTTTCATAGTTTACTTATCGAGAGTCTTCTGTATGCGTGTGTGTGATAGATTAGTGGGTCATTTTTATGCTCCTTTTATTGATGGTGCACCGGGATTGCATCCCGATCCTTCTATTTACGAGGTAGTCTTTTGATATCTTACAAGTACTGAAAATGTGTCACATTGAAAAAAAACGGTGTCTGTCGAAGGATATCAATATTAACGTCCATGTTGCCCTTAAATTTTCTAACAGGCCCTCGTGGAGCATCTGCACTATGAGAGTTGTCGACTTCTGAGCCTGTCATTGGCCATGTCTGCTCGTAACACGACAGCCGGTGAGAAGGCGGTAAAATCACCTCTCACATCCTCCACCATCTTGCCACCTCCCGACAATGCAATCGAAAATTCTATGGACACCGGCGCTATGGGTTCAGACTACAAGTCGCAGGCATTGACACGTCTGATTGAGGCCAACCGCCTTCTGAAGAACCTCCTTGAGTCACTAATGACTTCGGTATGCCCTGCTCTCCAGTCGACCTTTTTTCGAACCTAGACAACTTTTTCTTGCCCCCACTCATAATTCATTTTGTCTCCACTCAGCAGAAAAAGACGGAATCAACAACAGATCGACGTCCTTCCTGGGAGTCCTCCTCCCTCATCACCGCCTTATTGTCAATTCTTGTGACAGATCGGAAGGCCCACGTTTCCCTCCTCTGTAATGCGGCCATAGAGCAGGGCTCTAAACTCGGTCTGCCTCCGCGACCGCTTTCGGGTCCCGAACAAAAGAATATGCCCACTCTGACGGACTTTATTCGCTCGCTCACAGCCTATGTAGATGCCGAGGAGCAGGTTGATATACTTCTGGGGTTTTTGTCCTTTTTGTACACTCTTTCTGTTTCCATCTTCCATAGAGGACAATAATACCTACTGTTAGTAGGGACTACGCACGGTAAACCTTAACCGCACCAAAGCGACACTTTCTTCAAACACAGTGTGTGTTTTTCGTTTTCCTTGTTTTGCCTCCAGAAGTCCTCCAAAGGGACAGAAATGTTGCGGGGGATGGAAAGTATCCTGCCCTGTTTTCTTACTTTGACTTTAATCCTGATTTCTGAATCACGAGTAAATTTAAAACTTCAGGTTTTTCACCCGCACCAAGACGCAGGCCATTTATGCAGCACTAACAAACTGAACTATGATCTTCAGTAGTGTTTACGGGACTTGTGCAGTTTTTTTAAATTGATCGCTTAATTGCGCGCACATTTAGTGTAGATAGTGACGTCGTAGTGGTTTCGAAATTATCGCTTCCATATAATTAGATTTGCTGTAGTTCAAGTTTGTTGTGGTACAGTTAGGACTGCGCTGTATCCGGTTATGGAGATTAATCCCACGATCTAGTACAGCGCATCCATAACTCGTAACTAGCTATTACTCGTTAAACCATCTCCCCCAAGCACTCTTATGACTATATCCGTCTTTGTAATAATCGGCTTCGTTCCAAGTAGAATTTTAGTGTTATTTTTCTCGCCGTTTTATTAAATTACTACCGTGGTTAAGAACATTCCTATTCCAAATTCTCCCTGTCTCCTCTTTAAGTAGTCGATTTGCAAACCTGTGGTCGTTTATTGAATTAAAGGATAACCTCTTTCAACCCGTCAATTTCGCTTGTTTGGATTCTTCTACTATCTACTTATGCTTTGCAAACCCACTTATGTCGACACGGTAGCCTAAGCGCAAACTCCTGAACGGTATCATTTGAAGCGTGTTTCCTTTGCTCTAAAAGTTAGCTGTCGGCGCCACATATCTCGCCAACCCTGCATGAAATCAGAGTTACCTGATTTCTGAGACTCGCAGTAGTTTTAAATGCTGTTATGATCTTTGTTGCCTTCCCTCCCGTCCTCATTCGCCAACTTTTATTCCAGTTCTGCATGACCATTATTTTTTAAATTTGTTTGTTGTTTAGAGATGGGGCACGCTCACTGGTGCAGTTACCGCTGACCGACAGGAGCTCGAGTACGAAATTGAATCTGTACGACAGCGTGAAGAGACTCTAAAATCGGAAGGTACTTTATTCTGAATTTTCATTCAGGGTTCCCCACTTTCTCGGGTTTATTCTTTGAAAACGCTTTTTGTTGCATTTATAACATTGCTGGTGGGACTGAAGATGCCTTTGTGGCCTCACGTTTGTTTATCTTTTTTCCAAAATCTATCGTCAATTTGGAATTCTTAAATTGGTTTGGACAAAAAGGTAACAAAACAAGCGGAATTAAGGACAGCATACGTTTTGGGACCACTTGCTCAACCTCAAGCGGTCATTGCCTTTGTATTTAACTAGGGGTTCACGAAGAATACAACCTAGAACAATACAGTAGGATAGGTAAATAAACAACAGGAAGTGCTTGTAACAGATACTGGTGGGCCCAATGCGCAGCAGTTAGCTGACTATAAGGGATAGCTCCTTCCTTTTAAATGTTGACTGTTTTTGGCAGACAGTCTTCCGGATGTATGGTCCAAAACTTCAGATATACAATTTTCTAGCCGTGTTTCGTATGAAGGTGAGTTTGTTTCCCATTGCGTCCTTAGACTATATTTAATGACCTTTCCAAGTTAAACAAAAGAACGCGAAGCTGAGGATATTATTAAATTCCGCATGCTTTCTACCTTTGCCTTATTTAATTCCTTACTTTGAAAAAGAATTAATGAACAGCAAGTTTTTTTGGCCGACGAGCCTGATTCACTTGAGCCCTGTGACCGTCCGTTGTCCAAAAACAAGTTCAAGCGACGTATTTCGCACAATGAATGCACATGACTTTACTACAGTGTCACGACGTTTGTGAACTTATTTTAAGACCAGTGTAATGCACTGTTTTTATGCTGATATCCAACTGTCGTAGTTTATTGCTCCGATATAGCACAACCTAGTCTATTGTTGATAGTTTACTGTTTAAACGCGCTCTTTTAGCCCATAGCCCCCCCCCACACGCATGGTTCTTCCATTTCTTTTATGTGCCACGATATCGACCGCTCTTTCTTGCGTCTTCCTTTTCTAGTGACACGGCTCTCTAGAGAACTGGCCACTCGCGACGCAGTCCTCCTAGAGAAAGCGGTCTCAGTAGATAAACAACTAACCGCCAGTCAGCGGGAACTAGACAGCCTCCGTGCAAAGTTAGAGGAGACAAAAATGGAGTCCCAAAAGTTGGCTGCCTCCTTGGAGCAGACTCGGTTTGTGCCATTTATCGTCTTTTTTTGTATACACATTTACATTCTGCTAAATGACAACTCACGAGAGTGAGTCGGATGAGTCATGATTGCAGCCGCAAGAAGTACAAGTATTTGGCGGTCATAGATAGGGTCTCCGGCCTGCTGTGGTGCTCGTTGATTAAAGTATGCAAATTTAATCAACGTGTGGCGAGGTGTCTGATAAACGCGCCTGTAGGCTGTCTGGTCTGTGCCCTGCCCCCTCCCAGTAGCACCATTTGCCAGTTGCAGAAGCCTGCTTGCCACCCTGAACGTAGACCAGTTCGGCGGAGTCGATGTTGACCAAGCTGGTGGACTCGTGTTTCTCCGGCCCACAGCGAGCCGTGCGATCTTCCAGTTTGTTGCTGGGGCAGCTCTGGACGCGTGTGTATGACCACCGTTCCAGCAGCATTAGTGCTAATTCGCCTTACCTAGTTACTATCACGTAACTCACAAACATCGGGCACAAGTCCGTGGCCATTATCGACTACAACGCAGGCAATAAAGTAATAATTGGACAATAGACCTCCCAAGAAAATATGGAGCACTCAATTGCAGGCTCAGTAAAAAATCGGTCGGTATA